GAGGTATAAAAGGGGAGGGGCTTATCAGGCACGCTTCCTGGAGGGGAGACGCTTTATGGTATAATAGGAGATTTGTCATGGTTGTGTCTCCTCTATGATGTCATATCTAGGGGGGAGGGGCTTATCAGGCACGCTTCCTGGAGGGGAGATTATGGTAGAATAGGAGATTTGTCATGGTTGTGTCTATGATGTCATATCTAGGGGGGAGGGGCTTATCAGGCACGCTTCCTGGAGGGGAGATTATGGTAGAATAGGAGATTTGTCATGGTTGTGTCTATGATGTCATATCTAGGGGGGAGGGGCTTATCAGGCACGCTTCCTGGAGGGGAGATTATGGTAGAATAGGAGATTTGTCATGGTTGTGTCTATGATGTCATATCTAGGGGGAGGGGCTTATCAGGCACGCTTCCTGGAGGGGAGATTATGGTATAATAGATTTGTCATGGTTGTGTCTATGATGTCATATCTAGGGGGAGGGGCTTATCAGGCACGCTTCCTGGAGGGGAGATTATGGTATAATAGGAGATTTGTCATGGTTTGTCTCCTCTATGATGTCATATCTAGGGGGAGGGGCTTATCAGGCACGTTTCCTGGAGGGGAGATTATGGGAGATTTGTCATGGTTGTGTCCCCCCCCCTCTATGATGTCATATCTAGGGGGAGGGGCTTTATCAGGCACGCTTCCTGGAGGGGAGATTATGGTAGGAGATTTGTCATGGTTGTGTCTCCTCTATGATGTCATATCTAGGGGGAGGGGCTTATCAGGCACGCTTCCTGGAGGGGGAGATTATGGTATAATAGGAGATTTGTCATGGTTGTGTCTATGATGTCATATCTAGGGGGGGAGGGGCTTATCAGGCACGTTTCCTGGAGGGGAGGGGAATAGAGATTATGGTATAATAGTTTTCATCCCCCCTCCCCCCCCCCCCAACCCCCTCTAGGGGGGAGGGGCTTATCAGAGCACGCTTCCTGGAGGGGAGATTATGGTATAATAGGAGATTGTGTCATGGTTGTTCTATGATGTCATATCTAGGGGGGAGGGGCTTATGCACGTTTCCTATGATGTCATATTTCTATGGTTGGGGAGGGGCTTATCAGGCACGCTTCCTGGAGGGGAGATTATGGTAGAATAGGAGATTTGTCATGGTTGTGTCTATGATGTCATATCTAGGGGGGAGGGGCTTATGCACGCTTCCTGGAGGGGAGATATGGTAGAATAGGAGATTTGTCATGGTTGTGTCTATGATGTCATATCTAGGGGGAGGGGCTTATCAGGCACACTTCCTGTGTCTTGGAAATTGGCTTTGAAGGAATTTCTCCTTACCGTGAGTACTCGCAGTTGGATGCGCAGAAATCCCCCATAAAGCTGTGCGAATCTCGCTTACCACGACTGCAGCTAAACTCCACGAATCCTGCGCCTCCAACTGGGTTCTGCTGAGATGTGGGGGGTGGAGCTCCGTTACCCAGGAATGATCAGGCGACACTCTCAGGTTGATGTTGGAATTCACATAGAGGAAGTTTTCATTCTCAGCCCCCAGTTTTATTACAAGCAGACGCACGTCCCCCACATGAGTCAGGTCAGTCCCCTCCCACAGAACAATGTATGGGGAGTGTCTATACACAGGATGTACATTCCGATTGAGAGCATAGCCTTTCCTATTATCTATCACTGGTCCTCCCCCATGAGCCTTCTGAGGTCAGCAGACTTCCTCCCCCCCCCCATGAGCCTTCTGAGGTCAGCAGACTTCCTCCCCTTCCCCCCCATGAGTCCTCTGAGGTCAGCAGACTTCCTCCCCTTCCACCATGAGCTCTCTGAGGTCAGCAGACTTCCTCCTTTACAGCAGTCCTCCCCTCCCCCCCCATGCTCTGAGGTCAGCAGACTTCCTGTCCTAGCTCCTAGTAGTATGTCCATTCTCTGTACAAGCATCCCCTAGATTAAACATCAGTCTGTACCTGGATGGGCCGATACGTCTTTATTAAACACCAGTCTGTACCTGGATGGGCCGATACGTCTTTATTAAACACCAGTCTGTACCTGGATGGCCCGATACGTCTTTATTAAACATCAGTCTGTACCTGGATGGGCCGATACGTCTTTATTAAACACCAGTCTGTACCTGGATGGCCGATACGTCTTTATTAAACACCAGTCTGTACCTCGATGGGCCGATACGTCTTTATTAAACACCAGTCTGTACCTGGATGGGCCGATACGTCTTTATTAAACACCAGTCTGTACCTGGATGGGCCGATACGTCTTTATTAAACACCAGTCTGTACCTGGATGGGCCGATACGTCTTTATTAAACACCAGTCTGTACCTGGATGGGCCGATACGTCTTTATTAAACACCAGTCTGTACCTGGATGGGCCGATACGTCTTTATTAAACACCAGTCTGTACCTGGATGGGCCGATACGTCTTTATTAAACACCAGTCTGTACCCGGATGGGCCCGATACGTCTTTATTAAACATCAGTCTGTACCTGGATGGGCCGATACGTCTTTATTAAACACCAGTCTGTACCTGGATGGGCCGATACGTCTTTATTAAACACCAGTCTGTACCTGGATGGGCCCGATACGTCTTTATTAAACACCAGTCTGTACCTGGATGGGCCGATACGTCTTTATTAAACACCAGTCTGTACCTGGATGGGCCCGATACGTCTTTATTAAACACCAGTCTGTACCTGGATGGGCCCGATACGTCTTTATTAAACACCAGTCTGTACCTGGATGGGCCCGATACGTCTTTATTAAACACCAGTCTGTACCTGGATGGGCCGATACGTCTTTATTAAACACCAGTCTGTACCTGGATGGGCCCGATACGTCTTTATTAAACATCAGTCTGTACCTGGATGGGCCCGATACGTCTTTATTAAACACCAGTCTGTACCTGGATGGGCCGATACGTCTTTATTAAACACCAGTCTGTACCTGGATGGGCCGATACGTCTTTATTAAACACCAGTCTGTACCTGGATGGGCCGATACGTCTTTATTAAACACCAGTCTGTACCTGGATGGGCCCGATACGTCTTTATTAAACATCAGTCTGTACCTGGATGGGCCGATACGTCTTTATTAAACACCAGTCTGTACCTGGATGGGCCCGATACGTCTTTATTAAAACACCAGTCTGTACCTGGATGGGCCGATACGTCTTTATTAAACACCAGTCTGTACCTGGATGGGCCCGATACGTCTTTATTAAACATCAGTCTGTACCTGGATGGGCCGATACGTCTTTATTAAACACCAGTCTGTACCTGGATGGGCCGATACGTCTTTATTAAACATCAGTCTGTACCTGGATGGGCCGATACGTCTTTATTAAACACCAGTCTGTACCTGGATGGGGCCGATACGTCTTTATTAAACATCAGTCTGTACCTGGATGGGCCCGATACGTCTTTATTAAACATCAGTCTGTACCTGGATGGGCCCGATACGTCTTTATTAAACACCAGTCTGTACCTGGATGGGCCCGATACGTCTTTATTAAACACCAGTCTGTACCTGGATGGGCCGATACGTCTTTATTAAACACCAGTCTGTACCTGGATGGGCCGATACGTCTTTATTAAACACCAGTCTGTACCTGGATGGGCCGATACGTCTTCTTTATTAAACATCAGTCTGTACCTGGATGGGCCGATACGTCTTTATTAAACACCAGTCTGTACCTGGATGGGCCGATACGTCTTTATTAAACACCAGTCTGTACCTGGATGGGCCCGATACGTCTTTATTAAACACCAGTCTGTACCTGGATGGGCCGATACGTCTTTATTAAACACCAGTCTGTACCTGGATGGACCCGATACGTCTTTATTAAACACCAGTCTGTACCTGGATGGGCCCGATACGTCTTTATTAAACACAGTCTGTACCTGGATGGGCCCGATACGTCTTTATTAAACACCGGTCTGTACCTGGATGGGCCCGATACGTCTTTATTAAACACCAGTCTGTACCTGGATGGCCCGATACGTCTTTATTAAACATCAGTCTGTACCTGGATGGGCCCGATACGTCTTTATTAAACACCAGTCTGTACCTGGATGGGCCGATACGTCTTTATTAAACACCAGTCTGTACCTGGATGGGCCCGATACGTCTTTATTAAAACACCAGTCTGTACCTGGATGGGCCGATACGTCTTTATTAAACACCAGTCTGTACCTGGATGGGCCGATACGTCTTTATTAAACATCAGTCTGTACCTGGATGGGCCGATACGTCTTTATTAAACATCAGTCTGTACCTGGATGGGCCGATACGTCTTTATTAAACATCAGTCTGTACCTGGATGGGCCGATACGTCTTTATTAAACACATCCATCCAGATACAGTTCAGGTCGGTAATGGGTTGTAAGATATACATGAGCCTACACACGGAGTTCGCATTGCCTGGCGCCTAGACATACGAAGTCCATGTGGTACTATGCTGCTGATATGTGGATACAGGCCCGCGGCCTACCGCCGGCGGCATTGGCATGGAATGGTGGTATACACGCCGGTCTATAGGCGCAGATCTGCCATCTCATCCATTACCAAGCTGAGTACTGTAATACATACATTGTACATGGCATGGCCCAATTGCAGCCTTCAGAGCTTTCATTATACACACCAGAGACATATGAAGAACATGAATATAGGACACATTTATAGGACAACCAACAATACAACATTTCCATGACACCTGGAGGGGAGATTATGGTATAATAGGAGATTTGTCATGGTTGTGTCTCCTCTATGATGTCATATCTAGGGGGGAGGGGCTTATCAGGCACGGTTCCTGGAGGGGAGATTATGGTATAATAGGAGATTTGTCATGGTTGTGTCTCCTCTATGATGTCATATCTATGGGGGAGGGGCTTATGATGTATAAAAGGGGAGGAGTTTATCAGGCACGCTTCCTGGAGGGGAGATTATGGTATAATAGGAGATTTGTCATGGTTGTTTCTCCTCTATGATGTCAGTTCTGAGAAGATGGCGGCAGCTTCCTGGTCACATCGCGTTCTCCACCTTCTACTGAAACTCAACAACCTACAGAGAGGAGGTACGAGACTTCGTTCTAGGATGGGGGGTGATGGAGGAAATTGTTTGTATGATGGGGGTGATGGAGGACATTGTTGTCATGATGGGGGGTGATGGAGGACATTGTTGTTGGGGGGGTGATGGAGGACATTGTTGTATGATGGGGGATGATGGAGGACATTGTTGTATGATGGGGGGGTGATGAAGGTCATTGTTGTATGATGGGGGGTGATGGAGGACATTGTTGTATGATGTCCATGATGGGGGGTGATGGAGGAGATTGTTGTATGATGGGGGGTGATGGAGGACATTGTTGTATGATGGGGGTGATGGAGGACATTGTTGTATGATGGGGGGTGATGGAGGACATTGTTGTATGATGGGGGGTGATGGAGGACATTGTTGTATGATGGGGGGTGATGGAGGACATTGTTGTATGATGGGGGGTGATGGTGGTCATTGTTGTATGATGGGGGGGTGATGGTGGTCATTGTATGATGGGGGGTGATGGAGGACATCGTTGTATGATGGGGGGGTTGGAGGACATTGTTGTATGATGGGGGGGGGTGATGGAGGACATCGTTGTATGATGGGGGGTGATGGAGGACATCGTTGTATGATGGGGGGTGATGGAGGACATTGTTGTATGATGGGGGGTGATGGTGGTCATTGTTCTATGATGGGGGGGGGGGTGATGGTGGTCATTGTTGTATGATGGGGGGGTGATGGAGGACATTGTTGTATGATGGGGGGTGATGGAGGACATCGTTCTATGATGGGGGGTGATGGTGGTCATTGTTGTATGATGAGGGGTGATGGAGGACATCGTTCTATGATGGGGGGTGATGGTGGTCATTGTTGTATGATGGGGGGTGATGGAGGACATTGTTGTATGATGGGGGGTGATGGAGGACATTGTTGTATGATGGGGGGTGATGGTGGTCATTGTTGTATGATGGGGGTGATGGGGGGACATTGTTTGTATGATGGGGGGTGATGGGGACATTGTTGTATGATGGGGTGTTGGAGGACATTGTTGTATGATGGGGGGGTGATGGAGGACATTGTTGTATGATGGGGGGTGATGGAGGACATCGTTGTATGATGGGGGGTGATGGAGGACATCGTTGTATGATGGGGGGTGATGGTGGACAATTGTTGTATGATGGGGGGTGATGAGGACATTGTTGTATGATGGGGGGGGTGATGGAGGGACATTGTTGTATGATGGGGGGTGATGGAGGTCATTGTTGTATGATGGGGGGGTGATGGAGGACATTGTTGTATGATGGGGAGGTGATGGAGGACATTGTTGTATGATGGGGGGTGATGGAGGACATTGTTGTATGATGGGGGGTGATGGAGGACATTTGTTGTATGATGGGGGTGATGGAGGACATTGTTGTATGATGGGGGGTGATGGAGGACATTGTTGTATGATGGGGGGTGATGGAGGACATTGTTGTATGATGGGGGGGTGTGATGGAGGACATTGTTGTATGATGGGGAGGGTGATGGAGGACATTGTTGTATGATGGGGGGGGGTGATGGAGGACATTGTTGTATGATGGGGGGTGATGGAGGACATTGTTGTATGGGTAGATGGGACATCGTTGTATGATGGGGGGGTGATGGAGGACATTGTTGTTGGTGGGGGGGGGGGGTTGGAGGACATCATTCTGTGACGGGGGGTTGGAGGAAAACATTGGAGGACATCGTTCTTCCGTAGGGGGGGGGTTGGCGACATCGTTGTATGATGGGGTGTCGGAGGATATCTTTCTATGATGGGGGGGGTTGGAGGACATCATTCTGTGATGATGGGGGGGGGGTTGGAGGAGAACATTGGAGGACACTGGTATTTGATGATGTATATTGTGTTCTTGGAAGATGGATCTGGTGATTATTTGTGGTGGGACTTGGGGTTGGGGTGGTGGGACCTGGGTTGTGGTGGGACTTTGGGTTTTGGTGGGACTTTGGGTGTGGTGGGACCTGGGGTTGTGGTGGGACTTTGGGTTGTGGTGGGACTTTGGGTTGTGGTGGGACTTTGGGTTGTGGTGGGACTTTGGGTTGTGGTGGGACTTTGGGTTGTGGTGGGACTTTGGGTTGTGGTGGGACCTGGGGTTGTGGTGGGACTTGGGGTTGTGGTGGGACTTTGGGTTGTGGTGGGACCTGGGGTTGTGGTGGGACTTGGGGTTGTGGTCGGACTTTGGGTTGTGGTGGGACTTTGGGTTGTGGTGGGACCTGGGGTTGTGGTGGGACTTTGGGTTGTGGTGGGACCTGGGGTTGTGGTGGGACTTGGGGTTGTGGTGGGACTCGGGTTCCTCCAGTGTTCTCGGTTCTCCACTCTTAGTCTGGCCATTGTTATGATGTCATCAGAAGAGTTTATTGGCAGTAGTGATCACATGACTCGCTCCACCCTCTATAGAAGGAACCCTTGGTGGTCGGTGTCCTGTTATCTTCTCAGTCATCACTGGAGGATTCATGGGTAGAGGATTACCCTTCACCTTGTCACCCAGTCCATCAATCCGAAGACTAAACCCTGACCCTGCTCCGATCTTCTCCCTCTCTTGTATTTCTGTGTACACCATTGGAGGAGATTTGTCACTTGGATCTCTTCCATACGTCCTGTGGATCCTGCCAGAAATTCGAAGTGGTCTTCTTCACTATTCCCGTGTTGTCCCAATGAGTTGAATTGGCCCTCCTGGTTCTTATGTTGGGCTACAGGCAAATTACCGACAAGTGGGAGGGTTTTAGTAATTTGACAAAAGACAACTGGGCGGGGCTGACACCCTCCTTCCACACGATCCGGGTATTTTTCTGTACTTGTGGTCTTCAAAGGGATAAAACGCAGGTAATGTATGGAGGAGATGAGATGTATAGCGGAGCGGAGATGGAGGAGACGCATGGAGGAGATGTATAGGGGAGATGGAGGAGATGTACAGGGGAGATGGAGGAGACGCATGGAGGAGATGTATGGGGGAGATGTACAGGGGAGATGGAGGAGATGTACAGGGGAGATGGAGGAGATGTACGGGAGGAGATGAGATGTATAGGGGAGATGGAGGAGACGCATGGAGGAGATGTATAGGGGAGATGGAGGAGATGCGTGGAGGAGATGTATAGGGGGAGATGAAGGGGGTATGGAGGAGATGAGATGTATAGGGGAGATGGAGGAGACGCACGGGAGGAGATGTATAGGGGAGATGGAGGAGATGTATGGGAGGAGATGGAGATGTATAGGGGAGGATGGAGGGAGCATGGAGGAGATGTATAGGGGAGATGGAGGAGATGTGGAGGAGTTGTATGGGGGAGATGTACAGGGGAGATGGAGATGTATGGGAGGAGATGTACAGGGATAGATGATGGAGGAGATGTAGGGGAGGAGATGAGGAGATGGGGGGGAGATGGAGGAGATGTATAGGGGAGATGAAGGAGATGTATAAGGGGAGGATGGAGGAGCTGTATAGGGGAGATGGAGGAGACGCATGGAGGAGATGTATAGGGGAGATGGAGGAGATGCGTGGAGGAGTTGTAGGGGGGGGAGATGATGTACAGGGGAGATGGAGGAGATGTACATGGGAGGAGATGAGCTGTATAGGGGAGATGGAGGAGATGCATGGAGGAGATGTATAGGGGAGATGGAGGAGATGGTGGAGGAGTTGTATGGGGGAGATGTACATGGAGGAGATGGAGATGAGATGGGAGGAGATGTACAGGGGATGATGGAGGAGATGTATGGGAGGAGATGAGCTGTATGCGGGGAGATGGAGGAGATGTATAGGGGAGATGAAGGAGATGTATGGGAGGAGATGAGCTGTATGGGGGAGATGGAGGGAGATGGAGGAGATGTACAGGGGAGATGGAGGAGATGCGTGGAGGAGATGTACAGGGGGATGGAGATGTACAGGGGAGATGGAGGAGCTGTATGGGGGAGAGATGGAGGAGATGTACAGGGGAGGGAGGAGATGTATAGGGGAGATGGAGGAGACGGATGGAGGAGATGTACAGGGGAGATGGAGGAGATGTACAGGGGAGATGGAGGAGATGTATGGGAGGAGATGTATAGGGGAGATGGAGGAGATGCATGGAGGAGATGTACAGGGGAGATGGAGGAGATGCGGGAGGAGTTGTATGGGGAGATGTATGGGGGGGGGAGATGGAGGAGATGTATGTAGGGGAGATGGAGGAGATGTACGGGAGGAGATGTATAGGGGGAGGAGATGGAGGAGGACGCATGGAGGAGATGTACAGGGGAGATGGAGGAGATGTACAGGGGAGATGGAGGAGATGTACGGGAGGAGATGTATAGGGGAGAGCTGGGGGAGAGCATGGAGGAGATGTACAGGGGAGATGGAGGAGATGCGTGGAGGAGTTGTATGGGGGAGATGGAGGAGATGTACAGGGGAGATGGAGGAGATGTACAGGGGAGGTGAAGGAGATGTATAGGGGAGATGGATGGAGGAGATGTACAGGGGAGATGGAGGAGATGCGTGGAGGAGATGCGTGGAGGAGATGAGTGGAGGAGATGTACAGGGGAGATGGAGATGTATGGGAGGAGATGAGCTGGTATGGGGAGATGTATGGAGGAGATGTACAGGGGAGATGGAGGAGATGCGTGGAGGAGATGTACAGGGGAGATGGAGGAGATGTACAGGGGAGGTGAAGGAGATGTATGGGGGAGATGAGCTGGAGGAGATGTACAGGGGAGATGGAGGAGATGCGTGGAGGAGATGTACAGGGGAGATGGAGATGTATGGGAGGAGATGTACATGGGGGAGATGTATGGAGGAGATGTACAGGGGAGATGGATGGAGGAGATGCATGGAGGAGATGTATAGGGGAGATGGAGGAGATGCGTGGAGGAGATGTACAGGGGAGATGGAGATGTATGGGAGGAGATGAGCTGTATGGGGGGGAGATGTATGGAGGAGATGTTCTGCACACATTCTGCCCCGATATCCACCTTTTTGTTTTTCCTCCCAACACTCCAAATCTGACATGAAGATCTGACCCATGTGTGGGATGTGAAGTATGAAATGTTCCCGAGTCGTGCTCTGACCTCCGACGCTCACGGAGAGTCGGCATGCGGGGTGATGGCCTCCTCGTGTCTGCACACCATCCTCCCATGTTCTGATCCCCAGCCTGTCTACATTGCAGGGTGTCTGCCGTTCTGTGTCCAGGGCCGGAGGGTCGGTTGGGTACGTCAGTCGGTGGCTCAGCTTCTGTCTCAGAGCTTCAATGTGTTCACGCTGCATGGAGACCCCGCTACCCATCTGGAGCTCGGTGACCACCTCCGCTCCCCCCAGGAGAGGACCCGGGCCGTACAGGAGGTGATGGAGTCACTGCAACGTCAGGACGCCTTCCCGTGCCTCCAGGAATGGAGGGGTGAGGTGAGCGCCATCGTTCTCCATCATAGACATCCCACCCATACCAGTCAGCTTCACCACCATTCTGTATAGAATGCCAAATCCCCCTTCCCCCTCCCCCATATATTAATAGAGAAGACACCTGTCCATGTGGTCCTCATTTCCATTGTTATGTCTCCTCAGCTCTATGATGTGAATAGCCTCTTCTCTGATCCTCCCCTTCTCAGCATGGGAGCGGGCCGCAACACGTAAGGGCTGTGTCCATATATGTATACCCTGTATATACTGTATACCCCTATGTATCTCTCTGTATACCCCCCCCTTCCCGTCTAGCACTGTATTGAATGCCTGTTGCTGACCGGGCCCCCCTTGTTTGTGTCCCCAGCTCTCCTCGGGGTCCCCCGGTATGGAGTCCATGTGAACGGCTATGTATATAAAGGCGGAGAGCTCTTCCTGTGGGTGGCTAGACGATCTCTGACCAAGGCCACCTACCCAGGGAAGCTGGACCATCTGGTGAGTGGAGGGCGGGGGTGGGGGCGGTATGGTGAGCGGAGGGCAGGGGTGGGGGGCGCTATTATGGGGGGGATGGTACACATCGTCCTTTCATTCTGACCGAAGAATTTCAGCCAAGATCCAGAAGGTGGAGAATAGAGCCGCGTCTCCAGCCAGCCCTCCTGGTGATTTGGGATGGTGGGGGGAACCTCGGCACAGTCTACCCTCCCACCATGTGAGGTCCTCTTTGGATTCTGGCTGCAGGCCATTCCTGAGGACCTGTCTGACCTTCGCTCTGATTGGGGGGTCTCCTTGGTGTCAGGCTGACGTCTACCTCCACTTGTCTGGGATTTACACATACAGTCCCCCTCCCCCTCCAAGTCCTGTCTCCTCCAAGATGGCGTCTGGGCCCCCCCCCCGTAGAGGGGAATGTCCCCCCCCCCCCCCCCCCAGGAATCGGCCACCGGTGAAGAATTAGAGGGAAGATCTTGATGGAAATGGTGCAGGTAAGTAGAAGACCTGGGGGGGGCGCCATTGCAGCTCACTACATGTGACCACACTTCCATCGACCGCAGGGTGACTCCCATTGGTTGTGTTTCCAGGCAGCGGGGGGGATCTCTGCCGGCTCTGGGGTGTGGGAGACCCTCCTGAAGGAGTGCAAAGAAGAGGCCTGTATCCCAGAATCCATTGCGGCCACAGCCACGCCCTGCGGGACAGTCAGGTGAGTGACACCAGCACTCCAGGGATACATGGGGGGGGGGAGGGGTATTCTGATCATTGTTCACCCAATGAAATCCCCGGTACAGTGCCAGGTGTACTTTTGGATCATTCTCCTCCGTGCCGGGATCTTCCTCCTCCGTGGGATCATCCTCATCCTCTGCGATCATCCTTCTCCTCCGTGCCGGGATCATCCTTCTCCGTGCCAGGATCATCCTCATCCTCTGCGATCATCCTCCTCCGTGCCGGGATCATCCTTCTCCTCCGTGCCGGGATCATCCTCATCTCCTCTGTGCCGGGATCATCCTCCTCCGTGCCGGGATCATTTTCATCCTCTTCTCCTCCGTGCCGGGATCATCCTTCTCCTCCGTGCCGGGATCATCCTCATCCTCTGGGATCATCCTCATCCTCCTGCCGGGATCATCCTCCTCCTCTGCGATCATCCTTCTCCTCCGTGCCGGGATCATCCTTCTCCTCCGTGCCGGGATCATCCTCCTCCGTGCCGGGATCATCCTCATCCTCTGCGATTATCCTCCTCCGTGCCGGGATCATCCTCCTCCTCTGTGCGATCATCCTCATCCTCTGCGATCATCCTCCTCCGTGCCGGGATCATCCTCTGCTCCTCCTCCGTGCCGGGATCATCCTCTGCGATTATCCTCCTCTGCGATGCCGGGATCATCCTTCTCCTCCGTGCCGGGATCATCCTCATCCTCTGCGATTATCCTCCTCCGTGCCGGGATCATCCTCATCCTCTGCGATCATGCCGGGATCATCCTCCTCCTCCGTGCCGGGATCATCCTCATCCTCTGCGATTATCCTCCTCCTGCCGGGATCATCCTCCTCCGTGCCGGGATCATCCTCTGCGATTATCCTCCTCCGTGCCGGGATCATCCTCCTCTGCGATCATCCTCATCCTCGATTATCCTCCGTGCCGGGATCATCCTCCTCCTCCGTGCGGGATCATCCTCATCCTCCTCATCCTCCTCCGTGCGGGATCATCCTCATCCTCTGCGATCATCCTCCTCCGTGCCGCTTAAGAGGAAACTGGAAGGAAAGTCCATAGAAGAGGATCTCGGCAGCCCAGCTCCCCCCTCCTAGCGGGGACTCACCGGCCCAGCTCCCCCCTCCTAGCGGGGACTCACAGCCCAGCTCCCCCCACCCAGCGGGAAACCCTCAGCCAGCTCCCCCCTCCCAGCAGGAAACCAGCAGCTCAGCTCCCCCCTCCCAGCAGGAAACCCAGCTCAGCTCCCCCCTCCCAGCAGGAAAACCCTCAGCTCCCCCCTCCCAGCAGGAAACCAGCAGCTCAGCTCCCCCCTCCCAGCGGGGAAACCAGCGGCTCAGCTCTCCCCTCCCAGCGGGGACTCACCGGCTCAGCTCCCCCCTCCCAGCAGGGACTCACCGGCTCAGCACCCCCCTCCCAGCAGGGACCCGGCGGCCCAGCTTCCCCCTGCTGCACTTCAATGATTCAGCATCTCAGCCCCGCCTCCCAGGAGTAAATCAGCAGTTAAGCCCCGCCTCCCAGGAGTAAATCAGCAGCTAAGCCCTGCCTCCCAGGAGTAAATCAGCAGCTAAGCCCTGCCTCCCAGGAGTAAATCAGCTAAGCCCCGCCTCCCAGGAGTAAATCAGCAGCTAAGCCCCGCCTCCCAGAAGAGGGTGCCTGGCCTGCCTTCCAATCTGTAAAGGGGTTAGAGTGGGAGGGCAGGGAGAAGGGAAGGCAGAGTGCTGATACCCAGCTTGCAGGACGTCAGCGGTTCCCCTGTGAACTTTTGAGGATGAATTTCTCCAGAATATGTGCAGCTACAGAGGTCAGTGAGGACTGATTTTGAAGTTGGAAGAAGATCTTGGAGAGCTGTGTTTGGACCCCAGTGTCTTACCCCGGTCACGGTTCTGACCATGGACAGTCCATACAACTGCAAGGACCTGATTGTATGCAAAGTGAATCGATTGTATAGGTTGGCCTGACCTCAGATTGTACGGACTGGGATGTGTATGGTGGTCCATGCTGGTGAGACTGGGATGTGTATGGTGCTCCATGCTGGTGCGACTGGGGTGTGTATAGTCCATGCTGGTGAGACTGGGATGTGTATGGTGGACCATGCTGGTGAGACTGGGATGTGTATAGTGTCCATGCTGGGAGACTGGGATGTGTATGGTGCTCCATGCTGGGTGAGATTGGGATGTGTATGGTGGACCATGCTGGTGAGACTGGGATGTGTATGGTGTCCCATGCTGGTGAGACTGGGATGTGTATGTCCATGCTGGTGAGACAGGGATGTGTATGGTGCTCCATGCTGGTGATTGTACAGACTGGGATGTGTATGGTGGTCCATGCTGGTGATTGTACAGACTGGGATGTGTATGGTGGACCATGCTGGTGATTGTACAGACTGGGATATGTATGGTGGACCATGCTGGTGAGATTGGGATGTGTATGGTGGACCATGCTGGGGAGACTGGGATGTGTATGGTGGACCATGCTGGTGAGACTGGGATGTGTATGGTGCTCCATGCTGGTGATTGTACAGACTGGGATGTGTATGGTGCTCCATGCTGGTGAGATTGGGATGTGTATGGTGCTCCATGCTGGTGATTGTACAGACTGGGATGTGTATGGTGGTCCATGCTGGTGATTGTACAGACTGGGATGTGTATGGTGGACCATGCTGGTGATTGTACAGACTGAGATGTGTATGGTGCTCCATGCTGGTGAGACTGGGATATGTATGGTGGACCATGCTGGTGAGACTGGGATGTGTATGGTGGACCATGCTGGTGAGACTGGGATGTGTATGGTGGACCATGCTGGTGAGATTGGGGATGTGTATGGTGGACCATGCTGGGGAGACTGGGATGTGTATGGTGGACCATGCTGGTGAGACTGGGATGTGTATGGTGGACCATGCTGGTGAGACTGGGATGTGTACGGTGGTCCATGCTGGTGAGACTGGGATGTGTATGGTGGACCATGCTGGTGAGACTGAGACTGGGATGTGTATGGTGGCCCATGCTGGTGAGACTGGGATGTGTATGGTGGTCCATGCTGGTGAGACTGAGACTGGGATGTGTATGGTGGTCCATGCTGGTGAGACTGGGATTTGTATGGTGCTCCATGCTGGTGAGACTGGGATGTGTATGGTGGACCATGCTGGTGATTGTACAGACCGGGATGTGTATGGTGGGCCATGCTGGTGAGATTGGGATGTGTATGGTGGACCATGCTGGTGAGATTGGGATGTGTATGGTGGACCATGCTGGTGATTGTACAGACCAGGATGTGTATGTTGGACCATGCTGGTGATTGCACAGACCAGGATGTGTATGGTGGGCCATGCTGGTGAGATTGGGATGTGTATGGTGGACCATGCTGGTGATTGTCCTGATTATGGCGATATTCTCTCGATATTGCAGCTATGCCTATGAGAAGGGGGAGGGGATCTACCTGGAGTGTCAGTTTGTTTTTGACCTGGAGGTTCCAGAGTCCTTCCAGCCAATCGTGGGGGACGGAGAGGTGCAGGAGTTCTTCTTGTGGCCATTGGAGAAGGTGAGTGGTGGGGAATGATGGTGGTTCCTGGGGGGAGGGGCCTATCTCTTACATCACTTTTATCAAGGTAACGAGAAGCAAATTAGCGTTTCGTGGTAACCATGGCGACCTGCAGAGAACATTGACTTCTCCATTAAATGTGGAAGGTCTAATATTGACCTGTCTTGCTCCCCTAAGATCTGCACCGTGTAGCCCGACGGTCCTGGTCCAAATATTCACCATCTCCCAGCTGGACTCATCTTTCTCTCCATTCATTCCTACAGAGGCTGTTGGAGCGCACCATAGACGGGCTCTTCATGGGAGGGACTAGAGATTGGGGTGGGCATGTGTGGAAGAAGAGCCAGCAAGACCATGCAACTTCTGCCTGGCCATGAGAGTTCAGCAACAGCCGATATTTGGACCCCTGTGGGCTGGACTCTGGAGATCTTAGTGACCAATATTTGGACCCCTGTGGGCTGGACACTGGAGATCTTAGTGACCAATATTTGGACCCCTGTGGCCTGCACAGTGAAGATCTCAGAGATAGATGTTTGGACCCCAGTGGGCTGCACACTGGAGATCTTATCGACCGATGTTTGGACCCAGTGGGCTGCACAGTGAAGATCTTGGTGACCAATGTGTAGCCCACAGGGTTCCAAACATCGGTCACCAAGAACTTCACTGTGCAGGCCACAGGGGTCCAAATATTGGTCACGAAGATCTCCATGTGTGCAGCCCACAGGGGTGAAGATCTCAGAACCAGATATTTGGACCCTTGTAGGCTGCACAGTGAACATCACAAAGACCGATGTTTGGACCCCTGTGGGCTGCACAGTGAAGATCTTGGTGACCACTGTGTAGCCCACAGGGGTCCAAACGTTGCTCTCTCAGATCTTCACTGTGCAGGGGTGAAGATCTCAGAACCAGATGTTTGGACCCTTGTAGGCTGCGATGTGAAGATGTCAAGAGGCAGATGTTAGGACCTCAGTGGACTAGATAGTCAAGATCTCTGAGATCAATGTTTGGACCCCAGTGGGCTGCACAGTGAAGATCTCAGATACAGAGGTTTGGACCACTAGGGGCTGGACAGGGAAGATCTCAGATATACATGTTTGGACTACTAGGGGCTGCACAATGAAGATCTCAGATATAGATGTTTGGACCACTAGGGGCTGCACAATGAAGATCTCAGATATAGATGTTTGGACCACTAGGGGCTGCACAATGAAGATCTCAGATATAGATGTTTGGACCACTAGGGGCTGCACAGTGAAGATCTCAGATATAGATGTTTGGACCACTAGGGGCTGCACAGTGAAGATCTCAGATATAGATGTTTGGACCACTAGGGGCTGCACAGGGAAGATCTCAGATATACATGTTTGGACCACTAGGGGCTGCACAATGAAGATCTCAGATATAGATGTTTGGACCACTAGGGGCTGCACAGTGAATATCTCAGATATAGAGGTTTGGACCACTAGGGGCTGCACAGTGAATATCTCAGATATAGATGTTTGGACCACTAGGGGCTGCACAGTGAAGATCTCAGATATGGATGTTTGGACCACTAGGGGCTGCACAGTGAAGATCTCAGATATAGATGTTTGGACCACTAGGGGCTGCACAGTGAAGATCTCAGATATAGAGGTTTGGACCACAAGGGGGCTGCACAGTGAAGATCTCAGATATAGACGTTTGGACCACTAGGGACTGCACAGTGAAGATCTCAGATATAGACGTTTGGACCACTAGGGGCTGCACAGTGAAGATCTCAGATATAGATGTTTGGACCACTAGGGGCTGCACAGTGAAGATCTCAGATATAGAGGTTTGGACCACTAGGGGCTGCACAGTGAAGATCTCAGATATAGATGTTTGGACCACTAGGGGCTGCACAGTGAAGATCTCAGATATAGAGGTTTGGACCACTAGGGGCTGCACAGTGAAGATCTCAGATATAGGTGTTTGGACCACTAGGGGCTGCACAGTGAAGATCTCAGATATAGATGTTTGGACCACTAGGGGCTGCACAGTGAAGATCTCAGATATAGAGGTTTGGACCACAAGGGGCTGCACAGTGAAGATCTCAGATATAGACGTTTGGACCACTAGGGACTGCACAGTGAAGATCTCAGATATAGACGTTTGGACCACTAGGGGCTGCACAGTGAAGATCTCAGATATAGATGTTTGGACCACTAGGGGCTGCACAGTGAAGATCTCAGATATAGACGTTTGGACCACTAGGGGCTGCACAGTGAAGATCTCAGATATAGAGGTTTGGACCACTAGGGGCTGCACAGTGAAGATCTCAGATATAGGTGTTTGGACCACTAGGGGCTGCACAGTGAAGATCTCAGATATAGATGTTTGGACCACTAGGGGCTGCACAGTGAAGATCTCAGATATAGATGTTTGGACCACTAGGGACTGCACAGTGAAGATCTCAGATATAGATGTTTGGACCACTAGGGGCTGCACAGTGAAGATCTCACTCTGAGGTTTGGACCACTAGGGGCTGCACAGTGAAGATCTCAGATATAGATGTTTGGACCACTAGGGGCTGCACAGTGAAGATCTCAGATATAGATGTTTGGACCACTAGGGGCTGCACAGTGAAGATCTCAGATATAGATGTTTGGACCACTAGGGACTGCACAGTGAAGATCTCAGATATAGATGTTTGGACCACTAGGGGCTGCACAGGGAAGATCTCAGATATACATGTTTGGACCACTAGGGGCTGCACAATGAAGATCTCAGGTATAGATGTTTTGGACCACTAGGGGTTGCACAGTGAAGATCTCAGATATAGATGCTTGGACCACTAGGGGCTGCACAGTGAAGATCTCAGATATAGATGTTTGGACCACTAGGGGCTGCACAGTGAAGATCTCAGATATAGAGGTTTGGACCACTAGGGCTGCACAGTGAAGATCTCAGATATAGATGTTTGGACCACTAGGGGCTGCACAGTGAAGATCTCAGATATAGAGGTTTTGGACCACTAGGGGCTGCACAGTGAAGATCTCAGATATAGATGTTTGGACCACTAGGGGCTGCACAGTGAAGATCTCACTCTGAGGTTTGGACCCCTAGGGGCTGCACAGCGAACATCACAGAAGCTAATGTCTGGACCCCAGTGGGTGCAGAAGGGAAGATCCTCAGTCCTCATCCCTGTGTATGTTCTATCAGAACCACCTGAATCCTACAAGGGGGGGGGGGCAGCTAACCGACTGTAAATATAAGCAGCTGGGGGAAGGGAAACAATAGAGATGGACTCAACTTCTGCAGGCCAGGCCAATCTCCGCCCACACTAAATATGGGCTTGTGTCCATATAAGGGCACTGACATCATCAGGACCCTGCCCCTTTTTTTACATGGGGCAGGGAATGACCAGAACCACAGCTGATTGGAGTTAAAAAGTTTGGGGAAAAAAATGGACTGTTGTTGTCCAGATTGAGTTAGGAGGACACGTGATCTCAGGTCTAGTGGACAGCTAAGTCCAACCTGTTATGTAGAGATCTAAATTGAGTCCTGCTGGGCGAGTGTTTCTCCTATGACAGCACGGGGACTGTGCAAGTTGACCTGTCTCCGTATCTACAGAACAGTAGCAGGTAGGCCTCTGCAGGTTTAGCAGGACTTGGAAGGGATCTTAGAACAGTTTTGTGTTTCTTGTTGTCTTAAGGAGATTGTCTTCATGTTTCAGGTGAGGGAAGCCATTGCCACAGAGGAGTTCAAACCCAACTGTGCCCTGGTGATCCTGGACTTCCTGATGCGGAGAGGACACGTCCAGCCTGACACAGGTACCTCTACGGAGTGGAGAAGGGGCCAGGTCCAGTCCTCCTAAAGCATGACTTTAGGTGATGGGGAGAATAATGGACATCATTTCTCACATGTTCTCATCATCTGCCTTGTTGGTGGACTGTGTGACCCGTTTTTATCCCATTTCAGGGCCTCTAAGAGTGTTGAAGCCCAAGGACTGAAATATCATCTATTGCAGCTTCCAGGTCCAAAGAAATGGCGGCTACATTTTGTTTTCTTTTTATTTAACTATTATAATTTTCATTGAGTGTTACAGAACACAAAAAAAAGAAACACAGAAGACGTTTGGTGGCGGTGGACATTTGGTGTACATAGAAGTAGACGTTTGGTGGACATAAGGCGGTGAACATAGGTCTACCAAATGTCTACTTCTCCTTCTATGTTCACCAAACGTCCACCACCTTAATATGTCTACCAAATGTCTACTTCTTCTATGTTCACCAAAAGTCTACTTCTATGTTCATCAAATGTCCACTACCTTAGGTCTACCAAATGTCTACTTCTCCTTCTAAGGTAGTGGACATTTGATGAACATAGAAGTAGACGTTTGGTGAACATAGAAGAAGTAGACATTTGGTAGACATATTAAGGTGGTGAATGTTTGGCAAATGTAGAAGAATTAGGCATTTGGTAGACCTGTTAAGGCAGTGGATGTTCGGTGAACATAGAAAAAGTAGACATTTGGTAGACCTAACGTGGTGGAGCTTTGGTGAACAAGGAAGGTGAAGTAAACATTTGGTAGACCTAAGGTAGTGGACATTTGATGAACATAGTAGACTTTTGGTAGACATAATAAGGTGGTGGACGTTTGGTGAACGTAGAAGAAGTAGACATTTGGTAGACATATTAAGGCAGTGGATGTTTGGTGAACATAGAAAAAGTAGATATTTGGTAGACCTAACGTGGTGGAGCTTTGGTGAACAAGGAAGGTGAAGTAAACATTTGGTAGACATAAGACGATGGACATTTTGTGAACATAGAGGTTGATGTGGTAGACATAAGACGATGGACATTTTGTGAACATAGAGGTAGATGTGGTAGACATAAGGCGATGGACATTTTGTGAACATAGAGGTAGATGTGGTAGACATAAGGCGATGGACATTTGGTGAACACAGAAGTAGACATTTGGTAGACATAAGGTGGTGGACATTCGGTGAACGTAGAAGAAGTAGACATTTGGTAGACCTAAACGTGGTGGAGCTTTGGTGAACAAGGAAGGTGAAGTAAACATTTGGTAGACCTAAGGTAGTGGACATTTGATGAACATAGTAGTTTTTTGGTAGACATAATAAGGTGGTGGACGTTTGGTGGAACGTAGAAGAAGTAGACATTTGGTAGACATATTAAGGCAGTGGACATTTGGTGAACGTAGAAGAAGTAGACATTTGGTAGACATATTAAGGCAGTGGACATTTGGTGAACGTAGAAGAAGTAGACATTTGGTAGACCTATTAAGGTAGTGGATGTTTGGTGAACATAGAAAAAGTAGATATTTGGTAGACCTAACGTGGTGGAGCTTTGGTGAACAAGGAAGGTGAAGTAAACATTTGGTAGACATAAGGCGATGGACATTTTGTGAACATAGAGGTAGATGTGGTAGACATAAGGCGATGGACATTTTGTGAACATAGAGGTAGATGTGGTAGACATAAGGCGATGGACATTTGGTGAACACAGAAGTAGACATTTGGTGGTGGACGTTCGGTGAACGTAGAAGAAGTAGACATTTGGTAGACCTAACGTGGTGGAGCTTTGGTGAACAAGGAAGGTGAAGTAAACATTTGGTAGACATAAGGCGATGGACATTTGGTGAACATAGAGGTAGATGTGGTAGACATAAGACGATGGACATTTTGTGAACATAGGAGAGGTAGATGTGGTAGACATAAGACGATGGACATTTTATGAACATAGGAGAGGTAGATGTGGTAGACATAAGACGATGGACATTTGGTGAACATAGAGGTAGATGTGGTAGACATAAGGCGATGGACATTTGGTGAACATAGAGGTAGATGTGGTAGACATAAGACGATGGACATTTTGTGAACATAGGAGAGGTAGATGTGGTAGACATAAGACGATGGACATTTTATGAACATAGGAGAGGTAGATGTGGTAGACATAAGACGATGGACATTTGGTGAACATAGAGGTAGATGTGGTAGACATAAGGCGATGGACATTTGGTGAACATAGAGGTAGATGTGGTAGACATAAGACGATGGACATTTTGTGAACATAGGAGAGGTAGATGTGGTAGACATAAGACGATGGACATTTTGTGAACATAGGAGAGGTAGATGTGGTAGACATAAGACGATGGACATTTTGTGAACATAGGAGAGGTAGATGTGGTAGACATAAGGCGATGGACATTTGGTGAACATAGAGGTAGATGTGGTAGACATAAGACGATGGACATTTGGTGAACACAGAAGGAGAAAAAGACATTTGGTGGATATGTTAAGGCTGTGGACATTTGGTGAATGTAGAAGACATTTTGGTAGACCTAATAAGGCGGTGGACATCTGATGGACATAAAAGAAGTAGACATTTGAAGATCATTTGGTAAGCATATGCTGAGCATGTAACCAGCTCAGGGTGTGTCCTTCAAAAATGTTGAAAGATAATTGAGTGAATAGGTGCCCAAATCAACCCAGGGGGTAGGGTTGTGGAGCCATTATGGAGCTACCATAATACAAATAAGCAGGGCTTTGAGGTCCATGCTCCCCCTCTTGCTCCATGGCTGCCACTGTCTATTCTACTGGGTGTTTCATGTCCGCCATCTTCCCATTGGGTGACCACTGTTGATGTAAGTGTGTGTTGTAGCTCTGATTCCAGGAGTACACTGAATTGTGAAGACCGCTACCAGATCTCTGCTTCCACAGCATAACCCGGAATGTGACTTCTAGGCACTGGGCTTTGCATTGCGGTGCCTTCCAGACCTGCGATTACTTTGTTAATTAGCTGGGTCTATAAAGGCCCACTTTTGAGTAAGGCCAATGTGGGGAGAAACCTCGAACTACCTCGATATTTACATCATTGGGCGCCTTTTCAAAATTCTCACCATTGTTGGCTTTACTGCAGTAAGGGTTCAGGCTGACAGACCGAGCACCAACATCATCCACAGGATGGTTAACGTGAGCATTTGTGTGGTCAGAACACCCTTTTTAGCCCACAGGCTTACCCCTTGTGTCCGGCACCTCTTCAGTTTCGTCTCTCACTATCTTTTCTGTGCTACGGCACAAAGCAGTGTGTCTTACCAGTTCTTCCTGGGTTCCTTGTGCTCTGGGACCCCTTGTCCCTGTCCAAGTGGGCACTCTGCTTCTGCAGTTGTTACCAGTAGGGGCTCCCAGTTCCTTCCACAGAAGAATTCTATATCCTTTGCAAGTATATCCTTGTGCCCAAAATTTCAATTTTGTTCCCCAGAACAGATGGTTCCCATTGGGGATTCCATTGTGAGTTGGACATCACTTGCCAAACATCACCTCCTAGTAGGTTTAGTAGTTGTGATAGGTCAGGTGACCTGGTCCCTATGCTGGATGACTCTGAGTACTACTTTCAACTGAACTGCCTTAAATAGAGACAATCCATCGGCATCTGGCTCTCCGCATAGGGTGGCCTCTGCACTGAAGGGACAGGTTTACGCATCAGGGTGCTCCTCATCTCCTACATGGCAAGAAATTGTCCCTGTAAGGGATCTGTGCTCCACTGTCTTGTCAGCAGGCAGAACATGCTGGGACCCTGCTGGAGGTACCCCCTGTTGGGGATAGAGCACATTTGGAAACCTTTATGGGACTCGATCACCTGGAGATGAGGTCCTCCAGATCCTTTCCTCAGTTCTGCCCTTAACCAGGTAGAAGTTCTTAGCAGTATGGCCAAGGTTCCTGTCCCTCACTCCAGGTACTTTGCTGGATCAGCATGGGTCAGGGAATCCTTAGCACCATGTTCTGTGCATCAGGTTAGGGAGGTCTTGCAGAGTCCCGTGTGAGGCCCCTGACACACTTTGGGGTGTTAAAGTGGATGGGATTTGCTCTTCTTGCACCAGTCTTGAGTTACAGCATACCCCTTATCCCTGCCTACCATCGTAGGTGTACTTCTCATGCATCCTACCTCCATTTTTAGTCAGGCTGACTTTGGGGTTGTCCTCCACCAGTCCCAGGGGTCACTTGGCTATCCTGATGGGATCATACTCGGTTAGGGCTTCATCATTTCATGGATATCTCCTTTTGTAAGACCTCCCTTGTGTGGTTTTTTTTTTTTTTCCTTGGTCCTTCCTTACCTGGAAATGTAAGGCTTGGGCTTTCACATGTAGACTGGCTGGTCTTCTCTCATGGACTTCTTTATGTCCAGAGCTCCCTCTAGGGACCTGTTCTCCTAGTGTTTTGCCCCATGTTTTTTGTTGTTGACCACATTGTTGGTCTATTTCTCACACATCAGGTAGTTGTTCCACCTGTGTTTGGTGGGTTGAGGCTCAGAGTTCCTCCGGTGTCATTCTTCTTGGCAGTGATGCCTTCCGTCAAGGTCTTGAGCACAAGCTTGACTTTCTTGCCTTCTGTTGGTCATTGGCATCTTCTCCTGTCTTGCAGGGGCCGGCTTCAGATTCAGATGTTGATCCTTCAGGTAGTCCTGAGCTGCCAACAGCTCCCAGTGCCTTCCTATGGGCCTATCAATTGGACTTATTGACATTCGGACTGTTTCTGAAGTCACGTGTCCATCAATGGACATGAGAGGTTAAAATGTTTGTGTTTTTACTATAAATAAAATTAAATTTTTTTAAGTCCATTGGAGACATAAGTCCCACCCCTCTGCAGTGGGTTTTTTTTTTTTTTTTTTTTTTGGCCTTAGTTTTGCTTCTTCACAAAACTGGGAGGAGGAGGGGCGATACAGGGTTACAAAACTCTTGTTTTCCAGAGCCGCAGACTCCTGGAGCCGGCGCCATAACCTGTTTGTGAATTCCTGTGTCTCTCAATTGACTTTATGAAATAAATCTTACAGTGAGTACAAAAATCTTATCATTCCTCCAACTCTTCTCTTTTGCTGCAGAGAAGTTCTACACAAGGTATGTGGAGTTGCTGCACGCCCCGCTCTGATTGGACGGAGATGTCCCAGTCATGGAAAAGAAGACGGTTCTCTGAATTCAAGGAACAGCAGAAGAGGAAGAGATCATCATGGTGGAAACTTCCAGGCAGAGATCATCATGGTGGAAACCTCCAGGAAGAGATCATCATGGTGGAAACCTCCAGGAAGAGATCATCATGGTGGAAACCTCCAGGAAGAGATCATCATGGTGGAAACCTCCAGGAAGAGATCATCATGGTGGAAATCTCCAGGAAGAGATCATCATGGTGGAAACTTCCAGGAAGAGATCATCATGGTGGAGACTTCCAGGATGAGAACATCATGGTGGAGACTTCCAGGATGAGAACATCATGGTGGAGACTTCCAGGATGAGAACATCATGGTGGAGACTTCCAGGATGAGAACATCATGGTGGAGACTTCCAGGATGAGAACATCATGGTGGAGACTTCCAGGATGAGAACATCATGGTGGAAACCTCCAGGAAGAGATCATCATGGTGGAGACTTCCAGGAAGAGATCATCATGGTGGTAGCTTCCAGGCCCCACAATCGGTTATTCCAGCCACAGACAATGAGACCATTACACGGCAGCCGTCCAATGCGAATATTCTGATTGGATTGTCTGTAGGGATTGATATTCATGGAACTTACAGATCGATAAAGTGACCGTCGGTGTGTCATCAAATCCAAAATGGCAGTTTTCCCTCAATAAAAGATAATTTATTCACCACCAGTGTCCCGTGTCTCCTACCCCTCCTCCATTCCCCGTAATAGTGTCCCCTGTCTCCTACCTCCTCCATTCCCCGTAATAGTGTCTCCTACCTCCCCCTCCTCATTCCCCGTAATAGTGTCTCCTACCTCCCCCCCTCCTCCATCCAATATTTCTGCAATGTCTCCATCCAATCTGTCCCCAGTCTGTCCATCCCATCTGTCCCCAGTCTGTCCATCCACCAATCTGTCCCCAGTCTGTCCATCCACCAATCTGTCCCCAATGTGTCCATCCACCAATCTGTCCCCAGTCTGTCCATCCACCAATCTGTCCCCAATGTGTCCATCCACCAATCTGTCCCCAATGTGTCCATCCACCAATCTGTCCCCAATGTGTCCATCCACCAATTTGTCCCCAATGTGTCCATCCAATCTATCTACAATGTGTCCATCCAATCTATCTGCAGTCTGTCTATTCAGTCTGTACCCAGTGTGTCCATCTAGTCTGTCCCTTCAATCTGTCCCCAATGTGTCAATCCAACCTGTTCCCAGCCTGTCCATCCACCAATATGTCCCCAATGTGTCTACCTAATCTATCCCCAGCCTGTCCTGCCAATCTGTCCCCAATGTGTCCATCCAATTTGTCTACCCAATCTATCCCTAATGCCTCCATCCTGTCTGTCCCCAGCCCGTCCATCCACCAATCTGTCCCCAATGTGTCCATCCAATTTGTCTACCCAATCTATCCATAATGCCTCCATCCTGTCTGTCCCCAGCCCGTCCATCCACCAATATGTCCCCAATGTGTCCATCCAATTTGTCTACCCAATCTATCCCTAATGCCTCCATCCCGTCTGTCCCCAGCCCGTCCATCCCGTCTGTCCCCAGCCCGTCCATCCCGTCTGTCCCCAGCCCGTCCATCCCGTCTGTCCCCAGCCCGTCCATCCCGTCTGTCCCCAGCCCGTCCATCCCATCTGTCCTCATTGTGTCCGTACTTTATACCCTCTTCCCTCCTCTCCTGTACATACTACACATGAAGACATTTCTCCAGCATTGTTTGTGATGTTCAGTACGGACGATTCTGGAGCGGGCACACATTTGACTTCATTCTATTCGTCTATTTTTCCATATCTGTTGTCCTTGTCCTAGACCCTCCCGAAGAGCCGGTAATCGATGTTGTACCTGCAGCAGTTATATACAACATTCTGTATTCCCCCATGCCTGTATTAAGCCAACCCCATGCAGAGCATTTCCCCCACGTTGTACGAAGAGGACCTGTCAGGGCCCCATTGATGAGATGCTGACCCAGAGGCCAAGGTCAGGACCCCCCCCACCCACAACACTTGCAGCCATGTCTATGAGACCATTGTTAATAGAGCAGCTCGCTGGTGATGGGGACAATGAGGGCCTGTGAAGGACAGACACAGATCTGCCACATCAAGGCGCTCGGGGGAGGGGGATCAGAATTGGGCTTGGCACACGCAGATGGTAGCAGATCTCAGAATTGCTCGTGCTGGCTCCAGTCCCATACATGACACAATTCCCGTCCTCATTCTTTCCACCCGTCTCCTGTGATCTCTGACCACAACATGCCGCGGCCCGTTCACTGAAATGTGTGAAGAATCCCAAATGACAGCGATTGTTGAACTGCGAGCAAAGTGCGCCAAACTCAAACCAACACTGGTCCAGGCTCCACCCAGAGAACGCGTGCCAAACTCAAAGCAACACTGGCCCGGGCTCCGCCCAGAGAGTGCGCCAAACTCAAACCAACACTGGCCCAGGCTCCGCCCAGAGAGTGCACCAAACTCAAACCAACACTGGTCCAGGCTCCGCCCAAAGAACACGCGCCAAACTCAAAGCAACACTGGCCCGGGCTCTGCCCAGAGAGTGCGCCAAACTCAAACCAACACTGGCCCAGGCTCCACCCAGAGAACGCGCGCCAAACTCAAAGCAACACTGGTCCAGACTCCACCCAGAGAACGCGCGCCAAACTCAAACCAACACTGGCCCAGGCTCCACCCAGAGAACGCGCGCCAAACTCAAAGCAACACTAGTCCAGGCTCCGCCCAGAGAACGCGTGCCAAACTCAAAGCAACACTGGTCCAGGCTCCGCCCAGAGAACACGTGCCAAACTCAAAGCAACACCAGCCCGGGCTCTGCCCAGAGAGAGTGCGCCAAACTCAAAGCAACACTGGCCCGGGCTCCACCCAGAGAGAGTGCGCCAAACTCAATCCAACACTAGCCCAGGCTCCGCCCAGAGAACACGTGCCAAACTCAAACCAACAGTGGTCCAGGCTCCACCCAGAGAGAGTGCGCCAAACTCAATCCAACACTGGCCCAGGCTCCGCCCAGAGAGTGCGCCAAACTCAATCCAACACTGGTCCAGGCTCCGCCCAGAGAGAGTGCGCCAAACTCAATCCAACACTGGTCCAGGCTCCGCCCAGAGAACACGTGCCAAACTCAATCCAACACTGGCCCGGGCTCTGCCCAGAGAGTGCGCCAAACTCAAACCAACACTGGCCCAGGCTCCACCCAGAGAGTGCGCCAAACTCAAACCAACACTGGCCCAGGCTCCACCCAGAGAGTGCGCCAAACTCAAACCAACACTGGCCCAGGCTCCACCCAGAGAGTGCGCCAAACTCAAAGCAACACTGGCCCAGGCTCCACCCAGAGAGTGCGCCAAACTCAAACCAACACTGGTCCAGGCTCCGCCCAGAGAACACACGCCAAACTCAAAGCAACACTGGCCCAAGCTCCACCCAGAGAGTGCGCCAAACTCAAAGCAACACTGGCCCGGGCTCCACCCAGAGAGAGTGCGCCAAACTCAATCCAACACTAGCCCAGGCTCCGCCCAGAGAACACGTGCCAAACTCAAACCAACAGTGGTCCAGGCTCCACCCAGAGAGAGTGCGCCAAACTCAAAGCAACACTGGCCCGGGCTCCAGCCAGAGAGTGCGCCAAACTCAATCCAACACTGGTCCAGGCTCCGCCCAGAGAGAGTGCGCCAAACTCAATCCAACACTGGTCCAGGCTCCGCCCAGAGAACATGTGCCAAACTCAATCCAACACTGGCCCGGGCTCTGCCCAGAGAGTGCGCCAAACTCAAACCAACACTGGCCCAGGCTCCACCCAGAGAGTGCGCCAAACTCAAACCAACACTGGCCCAGGCTCCACCCAGAGAGTGCGCCAAACTCAAAGCAACACTGGCCCAGGCTCCACCCAGAGAGTGCGCCAAACTCAAAGCAACACTGGCCCAGGCTCCACCCAGTGAGAGTGCGCCAAACTCAAACCAACACTGGTCCAGGCTCCGCCCAGAGAACACACGCCAAACTCAAAGCAACACTGGCCCAAGCTCCACCCAGAGAGTGCGCCAAACTCAAAGCAACACTGGCCCGGGCTCCACCCAGAGAGAGTGCGCCAAACTCAGATCAACACTGGCCCAGGCTCCGCCCAGAGAACGTGCGCCAAACTCAAAGCAACACTGGCCCAGGCTCTGCCCAGAGAGTGCGCCAAACTCAAAGCAACACTGGCCCAGGCTCCACCCAGAGAGTGCGCCAAACTCAAACCAACACTGGTCCAGGCTCCGCCCAGAGAACGTGCGCCAAACTCAAAGCAACACTGGCCCGGGCTCCACCCAGAGAGAGTGCGCCAAACTCAGATCAACACTGGCCCGGGCTCCACCCAGAGAACATGCGCAAACTCAATCCAACACTGGCCCAGGCTCCGCCCAGAGAACATGCTCCAAACTCAAACCAACACTGGCCCAGGCTCTGCCCAGAGAGGGTGTGCCAAACTCAAACCAACACTGGTCCAGGCTCCGCCCAGAGAGGGTGTGCCAAACTCAAACCAACACTGGTCCAGGCTCCGCCCAGAAAATGCGCCAAACAAACCAACACTGGCCCAGGCTCCGCCCAGAGAACGTGCGCCAAACTCAGACCAACACTGGCCCAGCTCTGCCCAGAGAAAGCGTGAAAAACTCAATCCAACACTGGCCCAGGCTCCACCCAGAGCGCTCCAACCTCAATCCAACACTGGCCTGGGCTCCGCCCAGAGCGCTCCAAATTCAAACCAACACTGGCCCGGGCTCCGCCCAGAGAACATGTGGAAAACACAAACCAACACTGGCCCAGGCTCCGCCCGGAAAAAGTGCGCCAAACTCAAACCAACACTGGCCCTGCTCCTCCGCCCCGAAAAAGTGCGCCAAACTCAAACCAACACTGGCCCAGGCTCCGCCCGGAGAACATGCGCCAAACTCTCAATCCAACACTGGTCCAGGCTCCGCCCAGAGAGTGTGCGCCAAAC